GTTCCCCGGGTTTTATGAAACCCGACGTCCTTCCTGCCCAGCGGGAAAGGAACTAGGGAGGCTGGAGGTCCTTTGAGTGTTGCCGCGGGGGGCTTTTCCCCGCTGGGTGGGCTGCCTAACACCCCCCCCGCTCCATGCTGGCACATCGGGAGGGATCAGCATTGGGGTTTAGCGCTTGCAATGCAGCAACAAATCCTTCCCCGCTGGCACGCGGTGGCTGCCGATTTCTTTCAGCGCTGATGTATCGCCGGCTCCAGGGCAGCCGATGGCTTTTCCGCATGGACCTGAGACCTTCCCGGTCCTCAGACCTACGTCTCCGCCGGGGCTCAAGTGTTACGGTGGTCCCAGTGCAGATGCAGCAACCAAGCTCGTCTGGAGCGGCTCGCTCCAAGCCTGGTTTTGGAAAGCTCACGTTGGTGGCAGCAGGCGGCCGGGAGACCAGCAGGCAGGGAAGGCTGCCCTGCGCTCAGCTGCAAAAAGACTCCAGATTTTATTTTTTTTCAGAGAATCTTTCTTATTTTGCCCCTTCCAAAGCCACAGAAAACCTTCCCTACCTCTGTGCCACATCAGGTCAATTAGGTTATTGTTAATTATTAATTATCACAATCATTCGCCTTAATATTTTGCCTCGCATCCTGCACGCTCCCAGTGCTCCCTATAGCTTGATGAATGGCAGCAGAGGGGAAGCACAGTCACTCCTGATGAGGTAACCAGCCAGAGCACCAGATACAGCCTGGGAGAAGGAAGAAAACATGGTGCAAAAGTCCTTTATTTCAGAAAAAAACACCTTGCCCCAGAAACCCTGCTCGCCAGAGCCGAGCTGCCATATGGTGACACGGTGCGTGCCAGCAAAGGTGCTTCAAAATGAGTTCCTCTGGCTCAGGCAAGCGGTGGAGCTTAAGGACTTGGAGTGAAATCATTCGAGTGGGAATGGTACCACTGAAGGAAGGAGGAAAAATCCTCCCCCTGGTTTGGCCTGACTGTTTGGTGGGAATCAGGAGAAGTCAGAGCGAGACTTTGAATTGTGCTGGGCTGCTCCTTCCCTCCTGGCACTGCTTGGCATCGTCCCCGCTCATCCACCCTGGGGGTCCCGTCCCCCGTGCATGTGCCATTTGGGTCCTGTCCCCGTGCATGCACCAGTGGGGTCCTGTCCCCGCACTGGTGCCAGCGGGATGCGGGGCTGCAGGCTGTCCTCGGGCAGGGGTAGCTCTCTGAGAGGTAAACAGTAGGGTTGGAACTGTTACAGGCAGGATGGCAGAAGCCACTTCTGCAAGCCAGGCCCTTGAACAGGCCCCTTCCAGCTACCCATGAGAGAGATTTTTCAGCCAAATCAACTGGTTTTCAACAAAGCCAGGTGATTTTAGAAGCCGGACTCCTGCCTGCCTCTACCTCCTCCGCTGTCTGGCTTTGACAGTGGCACCTCAAGCCCCAAACCCATCACTGAGCCCCGGTCCTTCCTCCTGCCGGGCTGGGAGGCTGGAGCCCGGCAGCCGAAGCAGCGCCGGGAGAAGTCTCCAGCAGCGGCAGCGGCAAGAAAATGGCCTCATTTCCACCCCGTATTCACAAAGATTATGCAAAGCCTTTGAATGTAGGACTTCACGCGCTCTCCAGCAGCGCGCAGCCCCCGACGGCCCCGTTTTGGGGAGGCTGGCGGGCGCAGCGAGCTTGTTTGCCACCCTGATTAGTCAGCACTGCTAATTATAGCCACGCTTTTCCTTCTTATAGCTCTTCAAGCGCCGTTGGAGTAATAGGGAACAACAGAGGCGCTGAAATAAGGCTGCGTCCGCTCGCTGCGGATAAGATGCCGGTATAAATACGGGGATGAATTTCCAGCGGTGCGGCTTTGCACGCCTGTCTTAGGGGGTCTCAAGGCAATGAGCTCATGGGTTTGCTGGCTCGGCCGTGGGATGCTTTGGCAGAAGCGGGAGCTAGGGTGGGAAAAGCTCATGTGATACAGAGAGGTAGTGACATTTCCCCAAAGAAAAGAAATAAAGCCGATTTTAATGCTTTTAGAGAAAAAAATGATGGAGAATTGCATCACATCTATTTTATCAAACATGTCCCAGGTGTGGTTTTATTACAGCCCATGATGGATAGCGGAGGATGCCCAGACAGGCTCCCCGCACGGCCACGGAGCCGGGGCAGCACCAGCAAAGCCCCCCAGTATTACCAGCCATCGGCAATGGCGTGGGGCTCACCATGTAGCCCAGGGGAACCGAACCCGGCTGCCCACTGGCTCGGTCACCTGTGGTTTTCAGGGCTTTTTTGGTTGCTGTTTGCAAAACCAACAGACAGTGGTGAAAATGCTGCAGGTCTGTCCGCTTTTGCAGATTATTGGCATCGTAGTTGTTCCTTTTGGTGAGCTCTGTACCACCCGTTATGTCTGTTAAACAGCAGCCCTTGTGCAGACTTTGATTACTGGTGGGGTCTGCTTTGGACGACCAGCTCATTAGTGATTGCCACCCGTAACCCACCCAGGCGTTGATTAGCTCCGCAAAGACCTGCCTATAGAAACAGCTGCAGTGAAGCAAATCAGGGACAGGGATAGAAATTCAGTGGCTCCCAAGCCCATCTCCTGCGTGCCAGGCAGCCACTTGTTTTTTAAGCAAAAAAGCCCAGTTTCAAAGGCAGGATACATGCTGGGGGAGGACCGTGTGCGGTATTTAGCACTGAGCTTCCTCCCAAGGGCCAAAAGCCAAGGAGGAAGATGAGAAATGAAGATGGGAAATGGCAAGGGAAAGCCTTCTCCTTGCTGAGCGGCATTCCCAGGTGAGGCTGGTGGCCTCTCGCTGTGTAATTACAGCTTTTGCTGGTGACTTTGACTAGCTTTGATTTTTACTCCTCACTACTGAGACTGTAATTTGACTATAGATAAAGCATACTTAATATAATGTCAAAATGTTCTTGCAGATACCCAGGGAGCTCAGAACATTATATGCAACTATGAAAGGCAGATGCTCAAATACTACAAACATGATGTGCAGTAGCGCATCCTCCCAGATGCAACGCCACTTGCATTTGGGGCAGCTCTGGAGGCGGCGTGCCTTGGTTTAAAAATGGCCAGATAATGTCCTTTTTGTCACCAGTGCCTTAAGGAAACTATGGCACTGCTGGGGTGCCCCAGCGGCCCTGGTTGCCCCAGCACAGATAATTTCCCCTTTCAGACAGACAGACAGACAGACGTGCCAGCCCCTGTACAGCTGCCAAATCACCACTGAGAGTCTATAGGGGCATCCTGAAACGACCCCCAGCTAGCAGGGAAATAATCCGGCACCCGGTTGCGTGGACGGCACGTCGGATGGTTTATGTCCTCCTCGGTATGGGACCAAAGGGAGAGGAGCCAGAGATGTGTTGGCGCAGCCCTGAGACCTCTTCAGCCCATGTTGTCACCCGGAGGGGAGACCCTCCCTGGGGACACGGCGTCCACCGGCCAGCCCCGGGCTCTCGCAGGAGGGCAAGCAGCCCCGATTGCTGGGCGAGAAGCCTGTTGCGATGAGCGCACAGAAAGAGGGGACTTCTCAAGAGGAGGGGGATAATACCTGCTGGGGACCGGTACTCGCTGTGGGACGTAGGAGAAACATCCTGGGATTGTGCCAGACTTGGGGTGGGATGTTGAGGGGAGGAACTGAAGGTGGGGAAGGGAGGCAGCAGGGTGTTTTGGGATTACCAGAGCCGCTGTGGGGAGTGGGGATCAACCGAGAGACCCGGGTGTTTGAGAGTGTCCGAGCGAGCGAGACTGCAGGAGGGGTTGGGTGCTGGAGGGAGCGGGTGGTCCCAAGCCGCGGGGTTTGGGGTCAGCTGGGACCTGTCGGAGTGTGCGTGTCTGTGCAAGGGGCAGCTACAGATGAGAGGATCCGTGGGCCACGCTGGGGCAACTGGGCGTCTGAGGGCACTTAGTGGAGGGATGCACAGGCTGGACCTGGGGGCTCGGAGCTGCAGCAGCGTCCTTTCCGCCACGTAGGGGATTCGGCAGCCCCCGGCAGATCCGTTTGGTGACAGCAGGACCGTCCCTGCTCAGACCTGCGGCTGCTCGTGGCCCGTCAGCCTGGCCAGGCTGAGGCCACCCGCACTCATCTCAGGGGCCCCGGGTGGGCTGTGTCCCCGTGGAGCACCTCGCACGGGCCGTCACATCCCCTTCTGCCACGACGGCTCGATCCAAGCTCGTCTTCTGCGCCCACCTCCTGGCCGAGGCAGCCGCCGAGGGGAGTCAATCAAAGCTCCTCACCCGCCTCCCCTTTCCCCGGCGGTGTGTAATTACTGGGAGCGGGAGCGAATTCATTCAGCTCTTCGCTCAGATTTCCTCCGCCCCTTTCCATGCTGCTCATGTCACTCGGCGCACAACGGCGCTCAGTCACGCGGCCGGCAGCCCCAGGTAGATGACGATTCCAGTCCCCTGGGATGGGGCTCGGCCTGATTAAGAACCCAGATGCTCCTAACTGGGGCGATTGGGTTCAGCCAAAACCCACCAATATTCACCTAAGTATCTTTGCCCATCAGGAGCTGGAAATCCTTCCCGGCATCGAGCTCGCTGCACTGCCTAGCTACAGCCTGGAAGAGAGAAGGGAATGAAAGAGTAAAGCTGGAGCGTTATGAAACCAGTAGGAAAGGGGGGAGAAGGTGTAGCTGAAATATTGCGGATCCGGGAGCTGAGCATCCCTGCTTTGAAGATCCTGCTCCTGAGCTGAATCACGGAGCCATTTGTGGCTGGAAAAATAATCGTGTCTTTGGGATTTGTTCCTTTCCAGGCTGATCCTTTCCCAAATAAGTCAGGAAGGAAGCCTTGGGGGTGGGTGGGTGGGTGCCGCGGCGCGGTGCGGGGGACAGACCCCCGCACCCACCGTCCTCGGGCAGGTCTCCCCACGCAGGAGGGTGGGTGCCGGGCTGGGCAGCCCACGCGAAGCCCCCAGGTGTTGATCCTCCTCATCCCAGCTTTTACTCTGGCCGGAGGGGAGCCCGTGCGGGGCAAAGGCTCTGGGGTGTGATGTCTCCCGTGCGGGGGGATGCATCTGCCCCAGCCTGGTTGCACAGGTCCCCCTGAGCACCCCCAGCCGCCGGTTCCTGGGGGTGCCGAGGGACCGGTGCTGCTGTCCCTGAGCGTTGTCCTTGAAGAGCGGGGCAGCCGAGCCACGCCACGCAGGATCACCCCCCCTCCCTTCAGATCCACCGCGTCCCTCGGCACAAGCGGTAAAAATAAACCTTGCCCAGCCGCCTTTGCGAGCTGCCGGGGCCTGGCCGGCACCCAAGCTGCATCCGCAAAACGACGCAGGTACGGAGGGCCCCGACCTTGGGGAGGTGCATCGGGGTGGCGGGAGAGCTCATGAATGAACGGCGGGGCGGGTGCGTTGCATGGGTGCGTGCATGGGTGCGTGCATGGGTGCGCGCACCCCCTCGTGCCTGCGGGTGTGGACGTGGATGTGGAGCAGGGAGCCAGCCTTGTTGTTATTCTGATCACAGCGGCTCTGATTCACAGACTTGGATCATGAATATAAGTGAAGACTTTGACGTCAGAGTTGAGATTTATCAGCAGATCCAATGGGGCAGGAATATTAAGTGCAAGTCGATGCCAGCTATCTGCCAACGTTATTAGCAATGCTCACCGAGGAATGAGGCTTAACACCAAGGACTGGAAGGACTGGGAAGGAAAAAAATAAAAACGGGGGGAAGCAAGCTGATCCTCAAGCATTAAAGCCAGGTAAAACAACAACCCCCGGCGGTGGCGGCTGCCCCCCGGGCTGGGCTGCATGCGGGAAGGGGCGATGCTGGGGGCCAGCGGCAGGCAGCGGGCTGCAGGCAGACCCCCCCTGACCTTCACACCTCGGCTGCCCGGCCCGGGGTGTGTGTGTGTGGGGGGGCACGGATTTACTCTGCAAAGGGGGAGCGTGCGGAGCAGGGCAGGATCTTGCAGCTGTTTGCGGAGCATCCTGCACCAGTCTTTTCCAAAGGAAGGGAAGGGAGGGAGAAAGGAGAAAGTTAACGCAGGCTGTCCCTTGCCGCTGCCTTCTCGTTTCATCAGCGGCTCCGCATACATGCAAGGGCTGGCCTATTAATAGTATTTATTTTTACTCGCTGCACGCAAAAAAGAAAGGGGTGCGGGGGGGGTGGGGTGGGGGGGAGGAGGGCGTTTTGCGCTATAAATAGGCTGCAAAAGGTA